CAGACACACACACGGAACATTTACTTAATTTTTATGTATGATATGGTTTGTGTTACGACTGTAATCCTGTCATGTTATGACTGTGTTTTCTCGCACTTTAGATCATTTTGGATTTGCTTCACAAAGACGGCCCACCAGATTTCAAGGCCATTCAAACTCTCATAAATAAGTTGAAAGTGTCTGCAGCTTCAGGGGTAAGAATGGAAAATTGTCCTCCTGAGAAACACACAGTTGTACCTTTTTTTAAATGGTGCTTGTGGTTATTTTGGATCCTAGACTCTAGAATCCTAAAGTGTGAAGTTAACCTGAGTTACAGTGTTTCCTGTATTATAGAAGGACTTAGAAGTGGAGAAATCTCAAACAAACTTCATGGTGCTGGTCCAGAGTCTACTTAAAAATCCTGCTGAGAGGAAGCGCTTCTTCCAGGTATCCATATCTGTCTCAATGTGGTATTTGAGTTGTTGGGTGTCTTTTAAATAGACACTTGCTGTTGATTTAGATTTGGCAACATTAAAACATTATGTTTGAGTTAAATCCAAATATCAGTGTTTGGTCCTCACACTTTCAACATTTTCCCTCTCTGCAGGAAGTGTTCCCTGTTCAGTACGGCACAAAGTTCGATACAGCGCTGCAGGCTCTGACTGCAGGTCTGGTGTGCAAGCTGGAGCAGCTTCTCCCTGTACCAAATCTCTCCCAGGTACGCGCGTGCACTGTCATTGCATTTTGACATTTAATCTGGTGACAGCACGGTGGGCTGCTGATTGGAGACAGGAAGTAACTTTTTGTCGACTCCACTTCAGTGGCAAAATGCTTGAGAAGGGCACAGAGTTCCTCCCAGCTCCATGGTCTATTTCTAGTTTATCTTTATAGAACGGCCAAAGCAAAGACAGAATTTCTCTGTGGGTGATCAACAACACAACACATTACAGTACATTACATTAAAGTCCGTGTATCTCCTGACACTTAAGGCCTTATTGGAATGAAGCATCAAACCAGTAAGGTACCCCAACAGAGGGCGGACCAAAAATGGGGATGGTATGGAACGGTTCCATTGGTACCATCCACAACTTTTCACAGTGGAAATGGAAAAATGCATACTGAGCTGAACTGAACTGTACTGCTCGGTGCAAATAGGGTTATACTGATGTATTGATTGATTGCAGTCCACATTTAACAACAGTGAAACTATATCAAAACATCTGTTTACAAACTCTCACACGACTCATGCAGTATAATCCAAGTCTCATTTATTCAGTCATATGCTCAGCACTTCACAAGCACATGGATTTTCACAAAAAAAAAAAACGTATTACAAATAAACATATTTAAGTCTGAAAAGAGTATAGATATGTTCCACTTTCAGTTCAGATTTAATTGTTTTAGTGAAAATGCATGTGTTTCGGAGGTACCAGCATACGACTGGATAAATGAGACTTCGATTATACTCCACGAGTTGTGTGTGAGTTTGTAAACGGATGTTTTGATATAGTTCTACTGTTGGCAAAGGTTGTTCTCAATAAATCAATATCTAGCCTCTTCCATGGAGGCATGCGAGAAAAACAAAGTTTTCTTCACGAATTCAAACTAACACGACACGACTTATTAATATACAAATAGTCATTTTGTGGGTGAAGAATTCTTTTAACTCATTCAGTGTTAACATTCACTGCCTCTCTACCTCAGCTCGGTGCCATGATCTCAGCAGATCCATCTGTCCTGGAGGCTTGCGGAGGCTTCATGCCCAGCAGTGGGGACATGAAGGCTCTCCTGCTGCACCAGCAGGCCAAGGGACTCCTTGGTGTTAAAGGTATATTTTAGGATGTCTGTAAGAGCATGTGATGAAACATACTAAGAAAATCATTTTATAAAATCATTCAATACAGTAAAATGAATTTGACAAAGCCTTCTCCATTTGTGCAGCAACCATCTCGTCCTCAGTGGGCGACTGTGTGTTCGCCTCACTAGCCTTCCGGCCCAAACCAGCCGAACCACCACAGCCACCGCCAGAATCACCAAAGCGGTTAGAGGTCACCGTCAACGAATCAAGCCCAGCCTCACTCAGTGACACTGAAGACTTGGGAGTGATGTCAGATGACTCTGACAGCCCAGCAGACGCTGCTACTGGACCACAGGGGAGAGGGCGATACAGTCTTAAAACAGCTGATGGCAGTGCCGACAAGGAAAAGAGTGTCGCAGCAACAGCTCAGAGGGAGAATGTGCTACAAGAGAAGAGCTGCGAGGAGGAACAGCCTGCCACAACTCAACTGAGCGAAGGGGAAAATGCAGCACCAAATAAACCAGAACCACAGCCACTTCCTTTGAAATCCATCCCTTTCCGGGTAGTTCAAATGCCGATCAAAACTGCTTCCACCATGCAGAACGCAGGAACAAAAGATGGCCAAAAGCCCCAGACTCAGCGAGTCACATTGCATCAGTGGGTGTCACAGATAGCCACTAACTCGCTATCACTCCCAGCCCTGCCACCACTTCCTCCACCCAGGTTGACTGCAGGGGAATACACAAAGCCGAGTATAAGAAGAAAAAAGCAAATCAGACCTCCAGCTGACAGATTCACCTGCCCCGTGTGCGACAAGACCTTCCCTTATCAGTCCAAGCTAATGGATCATGAGCGCATTCACACAGGAGAGAAGCCGTTTGTGTGCACAGCGTGCAACAAAGGCTTCAGAACACAGGCGTTCCTCAACAACCATCTGAAGACCCACAGCACCATGCGTCCTTACGCCTGCGGCCAGTGCGGGAAGTGTTTCGTCAAATTGCAGAGCTTGACGAAGCACATGCTGGCCCACAGTGGCCAAAAGCCCTTCTACTGCGACATCTGCAACAAGGGCTTCACGCAGTCCACCTACTTCAAAAGACACATGGAGTGCCACACGAGCCAGATGACGTTCCCCTGCAAGCACTGCAACAAAAGCTTCCCAACAGCCTTCAAGCTGTCGAACCACGAACGCTGGCACACCAGAGACCGCCCTCACATGTGCGAGCGCTGCGGAAAGAGATTCCTTGTCCCCAGCTTGTTGAAGAGACACATGGGCTACCACATCGGCGACCGCCAGTATCTCTGCTCCCAGTGTGGGAAGACCTTCGTCTATTTGTCTGACCTGAAGAGGCACCAGCAAGACCATGTGCCCAAAGCGAAGATCCCGTGCCCCATTTGCCAAAAGAAGTTCTCCAGCAAGTACTGCCTGAGGGTTCACCTAAGGATCCACACCAGGGAGAGGCCCTACCGGTGCTCCATATGTGAAAAGACCTTCACCCAGGTCGGGAATCTGAAGGTCCACATAAGGCTACACACCAACGAGCGCCCGTTCAGCTGCGACGTGTGCGGCAAGACCTACAAGTTGGCGTCACATCTGAACGTCCACAAAAGGACTCACACGTGCAAGAAGCCCTGGACGTGCGACACGTGCGGGAAAGGATTCTCAGTCCCTGGCCTTTTGAAGAAGCACGAGCAGATGCACACGAGGGAGGCTAACCCCGACTTCTCCGGTAAACGGAGACACAGGGGTAAGCACAAGAAGCACTCCCTCAAGAGGAAGTATGATGAGGAAGATGAGGGTAGCGGTGACGATTATTAATCAAGGAAACATATTTTGTATTAAATAAAGATGCTCTGATTAGCGGTGTTAGGGCTGATGCTAATCACTGATTCAATTATAGTTAGCTAATTTGGATAGCTACTGCATTACTGACCCTTTGAACCATGTCATTTTCAATTCTGTGGTGGAGATCATGTCACCATGACGGAGCATCCCAACTAACAAAACCCACTGTTTTACTGTACATCAGTTTTTCCATATAATGAGGTGATGCGACAAAATTAGTTTAGGAAATGAGGTCACCCTAAGCGGTCACATCCTGAGAGGTGTAAGGTGTAATCAGTAGAGCAGTTTTGGTGATCATCTCATAAAAAAAAAAAAAAAAGAATCTACTATAGGTTTAAATTTTGCAAATATACTACCTGAATGTAGTGAACATTTAAGAAACCATGTAAACAATACAGTAAAAATATTTCAGTGCATGTGATCATTTGTCTGCTATGTAATGAAATGTCGTAGTGTCCCTAGGAAACATTTTAATCTTTGTTACCATATCTTTGTGGCAATGTAGAGATCCAAAACTACTTTTACCACACGTTTTTTTATGTAACCCTGAACTGTAAACACTGCAACTACACTGCTTTTGTTTTAGTGACAATAGGCTCATTTGTGTTTATTAGGATTTCATTTTTTTTCCCAGCAGTAGATGCAGTGTTGTTGCTCCGATGGTGTTGAACTAGCCTAAAATATGAGAATTTTAATTTAACTTGAGCACAATACATTATGCAGTTGTGTGCTGTAAATCTTCTCTCTCATATTATCATATTGTGAGCAGCCATGTATACATGCCATTAAGCTGTTCTATAATATTCTTTTTGGTTTTTTGATGTTTTGCAGAAAAATAAATGCACATAGAAAATGGCTGTTGTCTTACTGGCTTTTTATCATGAACCCCGGAATCAGACCTAAATAAGGGTTTGGTCAGCGATAACTTTACATAGACATTTTAAGCAGTTAAAAGTAGATGTTCATGTCGGAAACGATGCCATTTTTCGTGGTCGCTGTATCCGTTTAACTATTGATAACGTGTATTTGGCGAAACCAGTACAACATAAAATAGCCCATTTCCACTGGCACGGCACGGCACGCCTTTCCCCTGCTGTGCGAGCTAAACCGTTGTCAAGCTTTCAGTGCTATTACAACGTCTCTGGACTCAACCGCCGTCACCGCCCGCCCTCAACCAAGCCAGCTGCATTCTACAGGTTAGGAACACATGACCCGCCCTCCTCTCACTCTGATTGGCTAGTACTTTTTGCCTTCATTGTTTGGATTGGTTAGTTTTAGACAGAAAAGTGCGATTGGCTAAGGTTAAGGTAAGGGTTAGCCAATCAGAGGCAGAGTAACGCAGAGTGAGGCGGGTCATTTCTAGCTGAAGGGGCGCCATTTTGAAAAAAAGTAAACATTCACCAGCTACTAACTTCTCAGTTTTTGTCAGATTTAAAGCAAAAATAAGGAAAAGGACATGGAGCCTCTGGCGAGGTGGACTAATGACGAGACTCAGGCGCTTATCTCAGTGTGGTCGGAGGAGAAAATACAGCGCAGCCTGGAGGAATCGTTCAGAAATGAGAAAGTATACAGGGAAGTGTCAGGTAGGCTGGCAGCCATGGGGATGATTCGCTCTGGGAAGCAGTGCAGGGAGAAGATAAAGAAGCTTAAACAAGAATACAATAGAATAAAACAGCAGGTTGAGACAGACGGGGCCAACACACAGACCTTCAAGTGGTACAACCAAATGGAGACTGTCATGAGTGAAAAGCCAGCTATGACACACATTACACAACTTGGCAACTCAGACATGGAAACAGGTAAGCAACCATAAATTCACCTTAGTTTATTGTTCAATCAGGTTTTTAGCAGAAATCAAATATGTCAGGGACCATGTACAGACAAACACAAGTGTCAAACTTAAAGTTTGCTTTCACCTAGCTGCAGTTTATCAATAGGTAAACACAAACAGTAGAAAACACACTACATACAATGCAAAATACACAATGTAAAATGAGTCTTATGATTATTTTTTCATCGTCCATCCAATAAAAACACCTCACTTGTCAAGGTTGTCTTGTGCAGATGTATTAAAATATAAAGAATAAAGGCAAATTAATATTTTAATCTGTTTCAATGCTCTTTTTCTGCAGTATACACTGGTACCAGCTGCACTTTCTCGCTTTCTCTTTTATACGTTGTCTTATGTAAAACATTTACACCACCAGTTGGGTTCTTTGAATTTAAAAAAGAAAAGATATCAATCAATCAATTTTATTTATAAAACCCAATATCACAAATTACAATTTGCCTCACAGGGCTTTACAGCATACGACATCCCTCTGTCCCTTGGACCCTCACAGCGGATAAGGAAAAACTCCCCAAAAAACCCCTTTAACGGGGGAAAAAAACGGTTGAAACCCCAGGAAGAGCAACTGAGGAGGGATCCCTCTTCCAGACATGCAATAGATGTCGTACAGAACAGATCAACATGATAAATTAACAGTAATCCGTATGACGCAATGAGACAGAGAGAGAGAGAGAGAGAGAGAGAGAGAGAGAGAGAGAGAGAGAGATGCAGGACAGACGGTAATGACAGTAGCTTACAACAACATTAATGAAAGTAATAATATTATAGTTCTGGCTATTGTGGTACAATATGTTGAAAGTATATATTAATATATGATAGTATACATATGTGCCAGTAATCATATGTGTATAATAACAGTAGAAGTATGACTAATGATAGCAGCAGCAGGAGGCATTTGACAGGACCACGGCATGGTATAAATGAAAGTACATTTATACAACCAGTAGTTTATTAATGACTGGCATTCATGATTACTTTGAAGTTGTCTTTTAAACTAAACAAGTGACTCAGTGATGACTGATACCCCTTTTCAACAGTCATGGGTTGGCTTGGCTTGGTTTGGGCCCTCAGCCCAGCACAACAGGGCCTTGCATTTTCATTAGAACAGGCCTACCTTCTTGAAGGTGCATCTTAAATTGATGATGTCTTGTCTTAAGTGATGATGTTTAAAAGCAGAGGGCTGATCCACGGCTGTCCCCTGTTATTTTTGTTGCACGTGTTATTCAACAGTAGGGCAGGTAAAAGAAGTTTACCTGTTGGAGGTGAGCTGAAGAAATGTTGAGTTTTAAAGCAGCAACTTCACACAACGTCTAATACGGCTGATAGGGAAGATGAAACAGTAAAATAAAGCAGATATCTAAAGTAAAAATAGGACGCAGGAGAGAAACTAAACTCCAAACCACAGAGATTCAGTTAGAAGCTACAAAAGACTGTAAAAAAACACCTTTGTCTCTGATCTCCTGCAGACAGAGAAGAGTAGAGTCTCGCAACACACACATGCTTGTTTCAGGGGGAGTCGGGGTCGGGGGTTGGCTGTGGTTGGCGTGAGGTCACTGCTACCCACTTGTGGGCGGGTGGCCCGGCCTTTGGACCCACTTTTGAGAAAGGTCCATCTCCGGTGCAGCTTGGCGTGGCACGCTCTGTCTTAACTGACAATGGAAACACAAATCGGCGTGGCCTGGCTTTACTTGGCGCGGCCAAGAGTGACAATGGAAAAAGGGTATGAGTGTTGTATTTTTTTAAGGCAGACCCTGCACTCAGTCAAAAGCTCCTAAATAAAGTCTTTCAATGGATACAGTGTGAGCAAAAATAGGTTAATTGACAGAGACAAAATGCTGTTTAGAATTCCTCCCGTTTCCACCAAAAACTTATGGTATAGTACGGTAAGTGACCTCTAAGGACGTGTACCTAGATCTGTCCACCGCAGACAGTACCCTTACACTGAGGTGGGGTTGTTGTCACTCACTGCTCTGTCCAGCTCTCCTTTGCATTTCCTTTTCAAAGGTAATACAGAGGGATGTCTGCACCTCGTTTATCGTCAATGGAACAGGGTCACATGCTGACATTTTTAGAACAAAAAAGAACAGGCTGGAGTGAGAGTCTCTCAGTAGGATATTTAAAAATAGCATGTTTGTGCATTGAGTCCTTTTCGAGCAAGAGCAATGGTGTTGTGGTGCCCGAGCGCGCTGGAAAGACGCTCTACCTTGTTTTTTCTCCAAGGGAGGATTAGAATATATGTTGATTAACATTCACATACATCTTTTAAATGCTTAAAACATCCTTTTATTTTATAGTTATGGTTAGTTTTCTATTGACCCTCGTGCTCGGAACCCCACCAGAGGGGTGATGAAAATTAGACGGTTCTGTTGGTACCATCCACAACTTAACACAATGGGAACGGAAAAATAACCGTCGAGTACTGAACTGAACTGAACCAAACCGGACTGCTTGGTGCAAACGAGGCATACTGAAGTGGTTGTAGAACACCACCTTCACTTGTGAACTCACTACATCAATTCTTCTTAAATGCATTGCCTTCTAAAAATGTACACAGCTTATCTACTGTTATGACTTGATCTACTGCTTCCACAGACACGTCCTTGGGCCATTGGTCAAATAAAGAGGTCCAAGCATTGTTGAGACTTTGGGCAAACCCCACTGTTCAAGAAGAGCTTCTCCTCAACACGAGGAATAATGAAATTTATGCCGGCGTCAGTGCTAAACTAGCATCGCTCGGATTCAACAAGGAGCCAAAGCAGTGCCGGGAGAAAATCAAAAAACTGAAGCAGGAGTACAAGAGAATCCAAACCGGTGAATACAAGATTGGAAGCCACAGCTCCCATAAAAGTGTATGGTTTGCCATCATCGATGAAGTCCTCAGTCCCAAGGCTGCAGCAGCGAGGCGTTCAGGAACAACAGAGGCCTCCTTCACAGAGCCCTCACTGCTCAGTCCCTCACCGTCTGCCCTGGATGTGGACGCTGATGGTAAGAAGAAAAGTCTAGATAGATTATTTTCTGTTTTGCTTGCATATTTTTGATGTATGCAATTTCAGACAAGCTACAGCAGGTGTTGCTAGAGAACACATATGGGAACATGGGAAGTTTGATGTGTTGGACACATAATACAGTGCAGGAACAGCTTTTTTTATGGGAACTTTTTACCAGCCTCAGCTCTCCTCTTTTTCTATATTACATGTTGTTATATACTTCACCAGATCAGAGAAGCCTTCAGGGGCATTGTCGGGGTGGTTTCAACCTCTGAGTTATCTCACAGATACAAGAGCGTAGGTTCGTGTTAACATCAGGGGCAGGGACACATATGAAATGGGGGGCTTGGGGTTCATCAAACATTTTAAATGATGTATTCTGTTGAATTTTTAAGGCATCCATTAATTTAGTCATAATAAAAGTCCCCTGCTACTCCAATGTTCAGGGTTCATGGAGTTTGAATCTGCTATGTTCGAAAAATGCTGAGCAACTGGGGCGAGAAAAACAAATGTTAAAATTGGACCCTTAAAAAGCCAGGGAGAAGTTTTGAAATTTTGTCCGTGAAAATGTAGGGGAACCCTGCATGATTATCTTATTAGTCAGTGCTTAATTTGAGCCAGAACGTACTGGAACACATACCAGGATCTTTTCAGAAAAGGCCCTGGTGCAAACTAATTTGCATGGGTCTAGAACTTTTCACATCTAAAAACTACATACAGTATTGGCTGATGTCACTAGTGTTGCAGAGTGGAGTACCATAATACTACGGTGCCTCACATACCACTACTGTGGGATAGGTTCAAAGTCCATTCACAAGAGGATGAGTGTCCATGCGCCGTCCAATAACAGCGCGTGCTGGCCACCTGGCACTCAATATGCTGCTGTAGTGGTTTATTTTCCAGACGTGAGTATCTTTGAGTTATTATTTATTTCTTTTTACTTGTCGGCAGTGATTTGTTTTCCACAGAGCTCTACGTGTGAGCATTTTACTCACATTTGCGACTAAAAATAGTTTTGTGCAAGCAAAATAAATCATTCAGCACGCTGTGTGAGTACAGATTTCAACCAGCAGCAGAAACGAAAGGCGAATCCTGCCAGTTGTGGGTTAAACGGGGGTCACAGACGGGAATACGGCGGTCAAATAGCCTACGGCGGCTCCGCGGCGCAAGATAACGGCTTACTGGCGACAGAGAAGTCCGACTCCAGGTCCAGTAGCCTAATTTCCTCTTTCGTTGGCGTCATGACTGCCCAGTAGTACCTGGCCGACCGAGCTGTGGCGGCACACAGGTATGTGTTGTGTCAGAGGAGAAACAAGCCGTTCACATTTCTCTCTTTGTGGCAGGTAACGGTCCACAAACCTCACCGCACTTTAGGGACTGTTCTTTACTTATGAAGGGACTGTTCTTTACTTGTCAGGGGAGGAGGGTGGCTGGTTGATTTTTATTTTATTTATTTATTTTATTTCAATCCCCCCTATGTTAATCACTTATTGATGCTGTTTTTGAAGTATGAATAAGTCAATAAGTAATTTATTCTATTGAAATATCATTGATGTATTATAGAAAAGTGATTTATCTTTTTAGAAATGACAAAAGGCACATCTGCCTCATTTTTGCTGTGGTATCGTGATACTACTCAGAACCGTGATACTTTCACTGGTATCGTACCTTGGGTCCCAATTTTGGTACCGTGACAACACTAGATGTCACAACCATTCCATTCGGAGTTGCACAGTGAGGCGGCTCGGGTGCCGTTTTAAAAAGTGTTCCCCCACTTTTGGGAGTGGGGGAACACTGCTCTCTCGGAGGCCCAAAGTGTTCCCCTACTTCTAATTTTACAAATTAAGTACTGTTATTAGTCATTACATAATTAAAGAGGGCAGAGCGGTGATACAGTGGTCGTATTGTCACGTCACAGCAAGAGGGTTGCTGGTTCAAACCCGGGGTGGGGGAGCCCTTCTGTGCGGAGTCATGTTCTCTCTGTGTCAGCGTGGGTTTTCTCAGGGTACTCCGGCTTCCTCCAACAGTCCAAAGACATGCAGTGTTTGGTGACTCTAAATGTGACTCCGTAGGTGTGAATGTGAGTGTGAATGGTTGTTTGTCTTTATGTGTCAGCCCTGTGATAGTCTGGTGACCTTTCCAAGGTGTACCCCGCCTCTCGCCCAATGTCAACTGGGATAGGCTCCAGCAGTTATGGAAAATTAATGAATGAATCTTCTATTTACCTTTCCTTTTGTTTGCTTTTTGTACCTTCACAGATGAACCCCAGTGGTTCCCTGATGAAGTCCAAGTGCTGATGACCCTCTGGGCTCAACCAAACATTCAGAAACAGCTTTTCACCTCAGCAACAAGCAATCAAGTCTTCATGTACCTCAGCAGTGAACTGGCACTGGTAGGGTTTAACAAGACACCACAACAGTGCAGTCTTAAAGTAGATAAACTTAAAGAGGAGTACAGAAGAATGAAGAAAGCAGAACCATGTGGGGACGTTAGAAACGACTGGTTTGCTATCTTGGATAGTGTCCTTGGCCCCAGGGGAGAGACTTCTACAGAGGTGGATTCATCTGCTGTACTGACAAAAGCTAAATCACCAGAACACCAGCCAACAAATGGTCTGTTTAAAACCCAGTGACAAAACAGGTTTATCTGTAACTTTGAGAGCTTTCACTGTATTAACTGTGTTGCTATGCTTTCAACAGATATGTCACCGGCTATTTGGACATCAGATGAAATCAAAGTGCTGGTCACCCGATGGGCAAAGGAGAGTACCCAGAAACAGCTTCGATCAGCTCACAGAAATGAAAGAGTGTTCGCTGAGTTAAGCGCTGAGCTGGCCACTTACGGCTTCGATAAGACCTCCAGACAATGCAGGACAAAAATAAAAACGTTGAAACACCAGTACAGACTGGTAAAGGAACAGAATGACCTTAAAAAGCAGAAAAGCAGGTGGTTCATCATTCTGGATAAAGTCCTTAGCCGTGAAGCAGAAGCTGAAGACGTGGATTCAGCCCCTACGTTTGTGCAGACATCACAGCAAGACCTTCCTGAAACAGAGGAAGACTCAGGTAAATAAGCTACTGTTGTACTTCACTGTGGCTTACACCTGTGAGTCTCTGTGTCCACTGGGTTATAGTTGGTGGTTTTGCATCTTTCTAGTTCATTGTTAGCATTTTCTTGGCAATCACTAGGGGTATCCTCAGTGTATACCTCTGATCCTTGCTATATCTATCTTTAGGTATAACTCCTAACAGAAATATCAGTGTCTAGCGGGACATCTACCTTGATGATTTTGTCAATGTCTTTCTTAACACTTCCCCAAAACCCCTGAATTATTGGGCAGTCCCAAAAATACGTGTGTTATCCCCAGTTTTTCCACAATTTCTCCAACACAGTGCCACTGAGGTTTCTTTCATATATGATGAGATGATGAGGGAAAAATATCTGATTTTTATTTTCCAGTCAACTCCATTATTGACTATTGATTGCTTGATGGCAGTTTGCTCACAGATATCTATACTTCCTGTCATTTTAGATAGTGTCATTACATGCCTTCCTGTCCCATTTTCAGGTTGCCGCTTGTCCTTGTCTTCACTGTGTCTCCTGGTTCCAACCCTGCGTCTGATGTGTGCCTTTGCCTGGCAAGTGGTGCAGTGCTGTAATGTGCCACATTATGGAAAGGTGGAGGAGCTGGTGAGGCTGGTGACAGAGCTGGCTCCAGAGTTGCTGACGCCCAAAGAGAAAGTGCAGCTCCTGCTCAGACTGAGGGCGAGGGTAAGACACATCAAACATCACAAGACACCCAAAACTGACTTACCGAGCACTTGCTTTATAACAATATACAAGTGGCGTCTCTTTCAGATGGTGTTGGAATTGTGTCGCAGTGAGAGCACAGCCCACCTGCTGAACATTCAGCCTCACCTGGAGGTCATTCAAAACCTCGCCATGGTCTCCACCTGTGATCAGCAGGTATGTTTTCAGGAATACTGAGCTGAAACCAGCATAGAGCTACAGAGCGGTGAGTTGGTTCTCAGTTGGATCTGCAGCAAAAACACCGCTTTCATATGACAAAGCTTCAGCTGATCCACTATTAATAATAAGAATATTTTGCAGTGGAGCTTTAAATGGGAATATTTTTTCTGCGTGAACTTTTCCTGTCTCCCTGCCCTGCTGTTGTCACATGTTAGGACAAGCTCCTCTGTTGTTCCTGCAGGAGACAGAAGGGAAAGGTTGCTGAACTTTGTGAGGTCAAAGGCTGAATCTTCAAAGTCCAAATTAAGTAGCATTCCCCTTTTAACCCTTTAAGTCCTTTGAGAGATCATTAGGAGCATCAGCTATGGGTCTGCACCTCACTTTGCTCGAGGCAATCATCTCCTTCCATCTAACGCTCAGGATGGACCCCATGCCTCCGTCATTCCCTTGGGATTTCAGTCCAGGCAGATTTCTCCTTGATGTTTAATTGATGTTTCCTTGCGTCGCTTTTAAGTGAAGATGCAGGAAGAGACAGTACTGCTGAGCCATTTTGATAGATCTTAATTTATTTTCTTGTGTTACTGAATGTTCAAATTCAGGACTCTTTATTTTAATTTAGGCGACTCTACAAGTGGCGCCCTACATCATGCTTTTGTACCTGGTAGGTGGCCTGTGCAGCCACTCTCTTCCCGCTGTTACAGACACCAGCAGGCTCCTCTACTTCTCTTAACTTAATAAGAGTTGATGTATTTAGTTTGCTGGTCTGTCAGCTATTAATTAGTCTGACTCACCAGATGTAGACTGTGGCTATAAGCCTGCCATTGGGGCAAGCATTCTCCCATCTGCGCATTACCATTTCCAAATTCCCTTTGCTCTGGGAAACAACAACAATCACCTCAGAGCTAACAACCTACATGCTGAAAATGGCACATTTTGGTGAAGATTTAGATCATGCAATAAGGCATGCCTACTTTTTTGTTTGAGGTGAATTGTTAAAAAGATCTACAATGAAAAAACAACTTATGAACGCACCTTGGAAAAGCACAGACTCTGTCTCACAGGAATCTGGTGTCTGATATTGATTCGTTTTGTGACACAGCCAGCCGGAGTTGATGTGCCACACGTATTTAACTCTGTCAGCGGCGTGTACCAGTGACACTGACTTCACTAATGTACCGATTTGTTCCACTTCACATGAGCTTCTGTCATATTCCAGCTCCTCCAGAACAAAAGTATAGTCAAGCTTCACCTCAATGTGCAACAGTTGAATTACACAGTGACACATGACTTTTAATGTATAATAGGTGATTCTAGAGCTGGCACTGTGGAGATAGGTCTGATGACATGAGATGAGCCACCCTTTGACCCTCACGTGATGTACAAGATCAGCTCCCATACAAATACACATATGATGAAAAACAATATAAGACTGATAATTTTCCTTATAGCTAACATCTCTGTGTTTTGGCATGAAGCAGTGATGCTAATTTAAATGAACCTTGGAATTAACGATGAATCTTGTTGATTGGTCAAAAGGGACCTTAAGTCATTCTTTTGAAATAAACATATTCATTGTTCCATTATTTTTGTTTGTTTGCTTTTGACACTTCACAGGAGTTGGAGGAGTTGGAAAATTCAAAGTCAAACTTTGTGGATGTTGTTCACATCCTGCTGGAGGACACTGAGGAGAGAGAGATGTTTTTCAAGGTGAGATATTCACTAACACTATCGCCATAACTGAAGCTGTGTCTGATGATGGGCTGTTTAATTGATACTGACTTGTGTTGTAGTATTGATACTTTTGTCAGTCATTATTAAGATGGATGAAATGAGTCAGGTAGCTCCGATCTTACCCATAACACACAAGCAAGATAAAGTCACAAAAAATATGTATGTAGGGTCCTACAGGAAGCAAATTGGAGTGTCTACGTCATTGTATTCAAACATCTCCGTTTCCATCCATCCAGGCTAAAACACCAGCCCAAAGTTTTCAAACTGAAACAGGGTCAGCAGCATTTCCAGAGTTCTCTGTTTTAGGACTAGTAGCGTGGACGCTAGGTGTAACCGGTGTAACTGGCAGACCACAGTATGTGCGCTTGCAACGCTGTGTGTCAGACAGTGGTCAGCAATACCGGGGCCCCGCAGGGGACTGTCCTCTCTCCCTTCCTCTTCACCCTCTACACCACGGACTTCAGCTATTGCACTGAGACCTGCCATCTTCAGAAGTTTTCTGATGACTCTGCTATAGTTGGATGTATCACCAAGGGTGATGAGGATGAGTACAGGGCTGTTGTGGATAACTTTGTCACATGGTGTGAGCAGAACCATCTGCAGCTCAA